CGTTTGTAAACTACATCCAGGTCACACCTCAGGAGAAGGAAGCCATCGAGAGGGTGAGGTTTAAATCTTGACGGGGGTGGGGGGGGCATGACTTTCTAAAGGGGGGGTCATTTAGTAAATGCCTTTGTTTGTCTGTGTCCTCTGGAACAGTTAAAAGCCCTGGGATTCCCTGAGGTTCTGGTGATCCAGGCCTACTTCGCCTGCGAAAAGAACGAGAACCTGGCCGCCAACTTCCTCCTCAACCAGGGACTGGAGGACGACTGAACACGGATCACTGCCTTCTTGCTCCTCCCTCATACCTTTCCCCTCCTGGGCTAAGCATAAAGACTGCTCCCACCCCCAACCCCCACCCCTGAAAAAAAAATTTACTGTACAGCTACCAACCTCAGTTCAACCCAAACGGAGAAGAGGAAGAAGAGGAGGAGGAGGATAAGAGGGGAGAGCCAGCAAGGATGTGGGCGTGGGGGGGAAGGGGGGGTGATGGGATGGGACTGAGGAAAACAGAGTGGGTCCATAGTGGTGAGGGGTGGGGGGTCAAATGTTTAAAAAGTACACAGAGTGGAGGCAGTGTGCAGGAATGTCAAGAAGAACGTGTGGAGCAACTATAAAATCCACGTGTATTCCAATGGAATGTGTGGCGTTTGTCTGGGGGGGGGGGCTATCATTGGATTTTAGAAACACTTCATAATCAACTGGGGAGGGTGGTAGGGCGGGGGGTTCAACGAGTGCGTGCGCTTGTGTGTATGTGCGTGCGTGTCCTGGTGCAGATGGAAGCGATCCAGTTTAGCTGAAAGAATCAAACGTGTCACATGGTCTAAGTTTGTTAATGCTGTAACTGGACTGTATGAAGCACATTCTCCTGACTGCACTTCAGCCACATCATCAGTGTGCGTACCTACGTGTGTGTGTGTGTGTGTGTGTATCTGTAAGCCTGCACAGGTCCAATAATAAAGGGGCAGAGGGACGCTGACCTTTGCTGCCCTCTGTGTCTGACATGTCATCAGTTGTTGGGGGGGAAATAAGATGCAAACTAAACGGAATAAGAGTCTGGTTCCTCTGTCCACTTCCTGTGTTTGGCCGTGACGGCCACATGCATCAGCCAATCACAATTCCCAATGTGGAATCGATGTCTATGCTGATTCGCTTCTGGTGCTAATTAACATTCACTGTCTTTGATGATTAAACAACAACAAAGGTGAAGAACTGAATAAATACATTTTTCTGCCCCAATAAAAAGAACCATTTGTTCACATTAGTACAAAGAGATAGGTTGGTGAAGCGTGTGACCTGGGGGGGAGGAGATGGGGGGGTCATTACTCTGTCCCTGCTGATTTGATTCTAATCTTCCTGAACAAACACTACCATCAGAAAATGTCCAAATTGTTAAAAACCTCCAGTAGGTTTGTATATTTTTCTATTTCATGAATGGAAAACATTTACACTATGTTCATTAATGACCTCAAAATTCCAAGATTAGAAAAAACAAACGAGTGAACTGTGTGAGACAGAGTTGGAGGAACCAGACTCCTTCCTATGATGTCTTTCTGCTTCATTGTGTGTTTGTGTTTTTTTTTCCCTCCTGTAACTGCACAGAGTATCTGCAATGAAACAAACACTGCTTTCAGTCATAAAGAAAACTGGGAACCAAATGTCGAGGTTTTTCTTTATCCTTCTAACATTTCTCATTTGTTAATTCAAATAAAGTCAAACAGTCATTTGAGACCAGACCCATTTCGTTTGTCAATTAAACCCATCAGCAAACATGACAAGAACTTCAACCTCCAGGAAGAAGCTACAGAATCACCACACGATGAAAAATATAAACATGTAAAGAAACTCCTAAAACAAGATTTTGATGCAAACGTTTTTAAAAAAAGTGAAATCAAGGAGTTTGAACTCAGTCCTTTAACTTTTCAACATCATCAACATGATCTTAGACTGTGCTACAGTAAATATCAGTCTTTCAGGCCTTTGACTCTCGGTCTATTATTAACATTATTACTACTATTATAAACTACATTGTCACTTGAATAAACTCTTAACTGTTCACTGTACAGTAGGGATGGAACGATGCACTCAATTCGTGATACAATGTGACTCACGATTATTTGTTGTGTTTACAATTTTATAATAAACCAAAAATTATAAATAAATAAATAATATAATTTAAACGTGTTATACTGCCCCAGAAAAATAAAACAATTAACCAATTAATTGTTATTAAAATATATTATTATTAAATAATATTAAAAAGGGGAAATTACCGAGCTAAAAAGCTACTTGACGGCAGCTGCAGGTCGTGGCTACAACCACTGACGTCTTACACGTTTTGAATATACAGTATTTGAAAAGTATTTATATTCTACTCTCCATGGGTCTATAACCCAAATGCCATTGTAAAAATTATATTATTATTATTGTTATTATAGTTACAGTTAAGCCATAGTTAAATTAATTCAAATAAATGGAATCGTGTCTCAATTCAACCAGCATACTTATCATACAGCCATCTCAAATTTAAAAACACTCCGTACTTAGCACTACCTGCAGGCCAGACACGGGAACTACACGTTTAATGTTATCAAACACAGAACACCAAGACATATATTATGTTTACTGTCTAAGGTTTACTGTATTACTGTGGTTTTACTACACCTATAAGATAGATGTCTGAATAATAACTAAATAATAACTTTAAAAATCCCGGACATGTTTCACAACGGCGTTCTTACCCGTCCACTCCGGCCAAACGAGCTCGAGTCTTTGGCTTCTTTTAAACGGTCCTGGTTCTTCACTGTCTTTAGCTGCAGCTCAAAGGCTAAAAATAAACAATTCCGCATTTAGGTTTTAACTTATTATTAATTACGTAATATTTTCTTGGCGTGGGAGCAAAACAAACACACCTGTGGCATCGACGCAATCGTTGTCTCCACGAGCTTGTTAACTTGTGTTCGCGCCTGTTTTCGACATATTGCTCGACTTTGGGACATTTGGCGACGTCAGACGACAATAACTTCTGTTTTATAACATTTATTCTTTCAGTTTTCTCTTCCTGTAATCCATTATTGTCTTTTTCCCCCCTTTTCCTTGACCGTCTCCAAACCTTCCCGCTTATTTCTGCAAAGAGGAAGTGACGCACACTGCGTCCTACGTCATCGTGGTGCAGTGATGCGCAGTGGGTTGCCAGATTGACAGGTGCCGTCTAAGTGAAGGTTGCCATGTCGTAGGACATCAAGCAAATAATCTAAGGATTTTCTCCGGTCAGAACTACATTTGTTGTTTTTTCTTAAATAATTCGGGGGAAAAGAAACAATTATGCATAGCGGCACAATTTGACCATATAGGAGGCCCCTAGGGCGCCCCCTAAGGGACACCAGGTGGCATTTGAGCATCTTCAACTCTCACCAGCAGCCTTTACTGGTGTTTGCTCTGTTTTTTTCCCTCGCTGCAACTCTTTACTCCCGGATGATTCGAAGTCTGTCAATAAAACAAAAACAAACGTAGGTCATGATCATGTGTTTTGTTCACGCTTGTTTGTTCTTCTTTAACAGTTTAGTTTTTAAGACAAAGCACAAGAACCACAAAGACAGGATACAGTCAAGAACATCCTTTTATTCAAACAAGTAAAAGCGCTGCTCTTTTCAAACTGTTTTTTATTATTATTATGGAAAAGAAACTGTAATTAACACATGCATTTCACCATGGGCTCTGGGAAGTGTGTCTGAGGATGGGATGCTGCTCTGGGAGGAGGGCAGGCGGAGGATAAGCACTGGCTGTGGGGAGAGGTGGTCAGCGGTGAGGAGACTGACCAGGTCAGGGCTCCGGTCTGTACACAGATAAAGACGGCCCAGCATCCTACAATAACGTGTCAAAACAAGCTAAAAAAAAAAAAAAAAAAGGGGCGGACGGTTCGGCCACATGGTCTGACTGGGCTTTTTGAATGATGCCGGGGCAAATACTACACACACACACATGCAAACACACACACACACTCCATGCAGCCTGCTTTCCTCTGGTATGGCTCAACAGCGGTGCTTTCACCTGTCAAGGCTTTAAAATAATACTGGTACTGGCATCAATTTTCTGACAAATCAACATTTTAAATTATTGACTTTTTTTTCTTTCTTTTTTTTTGCAGGACAAAAACAAATCAGTAATCTGTGATTCTGCTGGTGGAAGTTCTCTCTGCTGAGTGATGGTGAATCAGTTGATCACATGTCTAACAATTTTGTGCTGGATCAGAACCCTGCAGTCTCTCTGACGTGAAGCCGTGTCGCTCATAAGGTGCTTTGAGTCATTTTTTAATTTGTTTATTTTTATTTTTTTTACTTTTTTAAAAAATTTAAATAGCTGGTCTCAATCAACCAAGAGAAAGGTGCATAATTGAAAGTCTCAATAATGTAACGCAGTAACATTAACAAAAGCAAATCCAAATTCAATTATTAAAAAAGAAAAGATAAATAGATTAAAAAAGGGTTACAAATAAAACCTGCCTACAGGGGGAGTCCTACTGGCCATCACCCACATCACAGTCCAAAACCAAAGTTTCTCATTAGTGCTTTCGTCTCCCCCGCCCCAAGAACGGTTTCTCCCAGAGGGGAACCGTCGGGCCCTGCCGCAGCCCGTGTCCTCAGCACAGCCCAGAGCCCCGTGGTGTAACTTGTTCACTTACATTAGCTGTTGAATGGAGAAGCTGAAGAAAATGGGTATGGTAATACAATGTGAAGCGTACAGACAAGAATAACATGTGAGCTAACTGCATTCTGCTCAGAAAAAAAATCTTTGCGTATTTTTTTTTTCCTTTCTTATTTTTTTTTTTAAACCCCGCCGTTCAGAGAAAAGGGAATAAGCAGAAAAGGAGGGAGGGAAGGAAGGAAGGGAGGAAGGAAGGAAGGAAGGAGAAGTTTACGCAGCTACAGACTACTCCAGTGTCCAAGAGAGACAGAAGACGAAGCAAGACAGAAAATATCTTTTTTTTGGTCTTTTTTTTTTCTTAATGATTCTTATCAACAATAAAAAGAGAAACTAAATCACACCAATTTCCTTTAGTACTATGTATAGTGCTTTTAAAAAGCTCGAAGAAGAGAAAGGGAGAGAGGAAGAGGAAGAGGAGGAGAAGTTTGAAGGAGGGGATTTTTTTTCTTTTTCTTTTTGAGATGGGCACTCAGGATTACAAGATGGAATCTGTGAACAAAAGGCACTTTTTAGGGACAACCTTTAAAGATGCTCTGAGTCTATCACACTACATCACCAAACAAATATTTATAATCATTTACAGCGGGAGAATCAGAGGAGGAGGAGGAGGAGGAGGGGGCGGTGGTGGGTGGTTGGAGGGGTAGGGGTTCATGGACGGCAGCATCGTCCCTCACACTGGACCAACCAGGAGAAAAAAAACTCTGTCCAGATTCATCTGATCTTTTTTCTGTCATGGTTTTTGTTTTTTTCGTTCTTTTTTTTATATTGTAAAAAAGGGGAAACCAAACAGTTGCACCTCCCAAACATGGAGAGAATCCTGTGTTTGTCCCACATCAGACTGACGTGTGGTGGACACCAGACCAGAGATGGTTCCATGTCTGTTTTCTGTGCTGTGGTGTAAAGGTTGGGATGGAAAAATGCCTTTTGTCACAACAACCTTTTCATACACTGAACCCCCCCCCCCTCGGTAAATACAAAAAAAGAGAAATAGAATAATGCATGTTTTTTCCTAAAATTTGCTTTTTTTTTTACGATAACACTTAATTTGTTTATTATTATTATTTATGTATGTATAATAGAGAACGAATGTACTTTTATTCTTTAACGAAAAAGCACCAGTTTTCATAGTGATATATATTTCATGAGTTGCAAAATTGTTCCTTCAGCCCTCCCACATTTTTGAAAGCAAATCATGAGAAATAATACAAACAAACAAACAAACAAGAAAATAAAAACAGTCAGCCCCCCCTCCCCAAAAAACTTACATACAAAGACTGGGATTTTTTTTTTCTCGCCGCTCTCGTGTTTAGAGTCCCAGAGCACGAGGACTTAGAAAAACAAAGAGAGAAAAAGGAGACACAGAGGGTTTTCCCTCGTTTCTTATGACACCCTCAAACAATCGCTAACAAACAAACACAATTCCTCTACCAAGGCATTGCACATGGCTCAATCAACATACATCATGTAGTTTCAAGAACAATACTTCCCATCAAAACAAGAAAGAAAACAACGAAACCTAATCCGATCTTTTTTGTTGTTGTTGTTTTGTTTAATCCTCGCCTACGTCACCATCGTTGTCTACTACGTTACTACGTTTTCTGTTTGCCCTGGTTTTTGTCGTTTCTTTTTTTCCGTTTTCTCCAGAATGCGACGTGGATCCGATGACTCTCTAAGCTCAAATCAGCAGTTTCTGAGATGCGTCCTATGACTGTGCGGTGTACGCCATGCTTCAAAAAATAACTAGACTGCCACAGAGCTTATCTTGCAAATAAAAAATGTATATATCTATAAATATATATGTGTATTATATATAAAGATGATTGCAATTATCTAGTGAGCTGTCAGCGACTTTTTCTTCTTCTTCTTCTTCTCTCCTGACATAGATTTTTTTTCCACCATCACTATAGCTTATATGTGAGAAAAAGAACCTGAATTCATGTTTGACAAATTGCATAATGGGAATACAGAGGCACTTCCATAGTTTAGAAAAGAAATCACCTTAACTCTCTACACCAAGCTGATGAGATGCTGCGTTTCCCTGCAGTGAAGAACATGGCCAGGCAGTCCAGTTATTTTGTGAGGTTGGGTGAGGTGGGTGAGGCGGGTGAGGTGGGTGACGGGGAAATAATAGGTCTGTGGGTGAATGTGTGTCGTTTGGATGACGGGACAGGATTAAAAGCATCAAGGCCTCCTCAGATTGTCAATTTCTTTTTTTTTTTTAAGACTTCCCTTTGAGTTCAGTAGAGCGCATGGCGTTTGTTGGAGGTCACGAGTCGGCGCGGTCAGGAATCTGTGCTCTACACGGAGTCAGAACACCGTCCTCTAATTCTCCTAATAAAAACAAAGTCACGTTTGGCTGGCATGATTGTTTTAGTGCAGTTTTGATCTTTAAGGGCTCATGGATTACAATAACAAAGGGGGGAGTGCTGGTGTGTATGTAAGGGGGGGGGGCGTAGATCACCAGGGCAACCCATTTCCTTAACCAGACCCTGTGCACCTAATGCACAAAAAAAAAAAAAAAAAAAAAAAAACAAAAGAAAAAAAAGTCAAATGAAAACAGGGCACACGTGTGTGATCCTCCTGCTGGAATCTCTCGGTCAGAACAGCCAGATATGTCACATATTCATTTTGCTCCACAGTGTGGCTCGCTCTGCTCTTGGAGCGGCGGCCCGTCTGGGAGTGTAAACAACAGGGTAAACGTGAGGGAGACAGAAAGAGGAGCTACAGCGGGAACTCTCTTTGACTCGGGGTTCCGTCTTCAGCAACCTTCCCTCGTGATTCGGCTTTTTTTTTTTTTCATCTTTTCACTCGAATACTAACACCACCACCACCAGTCAGCAGCTGCACCGGAGTCAAACCGTGGGTGTGGCCGCGTGTCAGCTTTTGGTCGCCGTCTGTGGGTCAAATCATCGTCCCCTGGTTTCTAAACCCCTT